GATAGCATGATGGTTCCAAGAGAAATTCTAGCAGTGACATGGCAGAAAATCATCCCTAAGTATGAATGAGAATTCATCTGCATTCAGTCACACACAAAATGGAAAATGTGACAAAAATAATTATTTTAACATATTGTGGTATCTAACTTTCTTTTAATTAACTAAACAAATGACTATGTACTGGAATCTATGTTAGAATATAATCTTATAGAAAATTGTAAAATGTAACATGAAAACTGATGAATTTGAATAAATTAAGCTAAAGCAGCATGTGTATATAAATTAATTTATAAGTACTCAGCACTACATAAAGGCTAGGTATTACTACATGAACATCATTATTATTATCACTGTATACAGTAATCTTGGAGTTGAGCCACACCCATTGGTACCCAGGACTTACTACTGGTTAGAGATCACTACTGCTGGTGCTCAGGTGACCACATGTGGAGGGCTGGCTCCATGCAAGGCAAGAGCCTTACTTGCTGTATTATCTCTCCAGTCCATATGCGGTAATCTGACATAGACCAACATACAGGTGTTCTCTAATTGTCCTCCAAATTTGAAATAATTCAAAACATTTATATTAACAACATTGAGACCAGAAAAATGGTATAGCAGATACTATTTCCTTGGGGTTTGATCCCCCAGCATCTTGAATGGTCCTCTGAGCACTACCAGAAGTTATTCCTTGAGCACACAGTCAGGGATCTGAGCATCACCAGGTGTGACACTAAAACCCAAGTAAAGTAGACAAATAAATTATCAACCCTGTTAAACTCACTTTCCACTGGTTTTTCTTATATGATATCCTGAGCTAGATCCCAGCACAAACCAATAAATAAATATATCTCCCTTTAAGTTTTATCTCATCTCAAAGTGCCATCAATTTTAAGATTCATTGTTACTTAATCTATTATTAAAGGAAATATCTTGTCAAGTCAACTTTGATATGTCGATTATAAGGTACATCCAGAATTTTGTTTTCTCACACCCAATGGGCTTACTACTGGTTCTGTGCTCAGGGATTACTCCTGATATTTCTGAGGGACATGTGGTATTGGACAGAACAAGGCCAGCCACATGCAAGGCACATGCCATGAACTATCCTTGAAATCTGATTTTAAGGTATAAAATGGGTAAGGAGTGTCTGTAACACATGGGATAAAGAATCTGACTGTTGAAAGAGAAAAATAGACATAAAAAGATTGCATTCATCTGGGGGACAAAAAGTAACAAAATAGGAGATTAATACCCAAGGATAGGTGAGATCAGTACCAGAATGATTACTCCATGACTTAGAGACCAGCCGGGCATTCTTGGGGAAAGGGCAGCTCAGATAGAGAAGGGAGCACCAAATAAAGGGTTTTGGAGGATCCTCCCAGGATGGGAGATGCATGTTGATAAGTAGACTATGGACTGAACATGATTGCCACTCAATGTCTCTTTTGCAGACCACAACACCCAAAAGGAGAGAGAGAACAAAAAGGAATGCCCTGCCACAGAGGCTGGGTGGGATGGGGGATGGGGATGGGAGGGATATTATCCATGGTGGTGGAAAATGGGCACTGGTGGAGGGATGGGTATTTGACCATTGTATAATCGAAACCCAAGCACAAAAATTTGTAAGTCTACAACTGTACCTCATGGTGTTTCACTAATAAAAAAAAAAGATATCACTGCAAACACACACACACACACACACACACACACACACACACACACACAGAAGAATCTGACTGTTTCCCTGTGAGAGATCTCTTTTTATGGTAAAATAAGAGAGAGAAACCACTTATATGACTCTTATAAGACCATTAAATATTTACTTGAGAAACAATCTTGAGAATTTGAGTGTGATCTACCATACTCACCTCAGAATGTCTTATGAGAAAGGGTGTTCGAGGGGGAAAAAGCAGATGCTTCCATCAACAAACTGTGAAAGAAAAATGAACTTTAAAGTGATAGAGCAATAATTCTACTGAAAACTCTCCCTAGTTAGCAGCTTCAAGAGTGAAACCTCATCCCTGTTATATTCAGCGCTTCTCTATCAAGATTTTTTGAAGCCTTGATAGCTGTGAGTTTCTTGACATTTTGAATAAAATCTACCTGCTATGATTTATGTGAACATTAAAATGGAGGACACGGTAATATTCCATATGTTACTTGAGTAATCTTTCTAAGAATCTATAAGGCTAACTATTCTAAGACTCTACAACTCTGCAGATTGTAGTTCTTGCATGGATCTAGAATATGAAAATATCTAGAAAATAATAAAATGGAGAAAATACTTTATTTTTCTTATTTCATTTAATGTTTTTAATCCCAAGTTAATATATTGTTTGCCAAAATTATGTTGATGAAGCATTAACCTCAGCAGACAATAAGATATGTTTAGTGGTGGCAGAAGATATGGAACAGTTGGCAAATTTGTGATCATGGTATAAGTGGTTGAGACTTTTAAAAGCAAACAGAACTCGCTATAAAAACATATGGCACTTATTATCCTCCAAGAATTTTCCTCTCTCGTATGAGAACACTGATGACTATCTTAATGGATTAGTTAAGATGTGAACCTTTGTATGTTCTCTGACATAGGAACTGCCATTGAGCGTTCTCATTGATTCCACCCAGCTTTGTCAATCTATTTTAACATCTTCTCCATAGACTGAATTCATATAACACATAGTGAGTATTCAATGGTCCAAAATAACAAAGGTTCATATTTTGTTTCTTGAGAGCTCATGACTCTGTGAATGTAGTCTAAAGACTGTCTTGTGAAGGGAGGGCGACCTGATTTTCTGACACATGGAGAAATTTACTTTTAGCTGTTTTACTGTCTTTGTGTCAAGTAATCCAGGCAAAGCAGACACTCTTATGCCGATTGCCCAACTGACAAATCCACTTTGAATTTAATTTTTTTTAAATTTTTATTAGTGAAACACCATGAGGTACAGTTGTAGAATTACAAATTTTTGTGCTTGGGTTTCAGTTATACAATCATCCAGTACCCATCCCTCTACCAATGCCCATTCTCCATCATTTACATTTTTTTAAAATTTTTGTTAGTGAAACACCATGAGGTACAGTTGTAGATTTACAAATTTTTGTGCTTGTGTTTCAATTTTACAATGATCAAACACCCATCCCTCCACTAGTGCCCATTTTCTACCACCATGGGTCCCAGTATCCCTCCCATGCCCCATCCTCCCATCCCACCCTGCCTGCGTGGCAGGGTATTCCCTTTTGTTCTCAATTTAAAATTCTTAACCCAAATTTAGGATTGCTCTCTCAACCTTCCTGTCCTGTTTCCTTATATCTTAAGTGGCATTTATCTTCCAGATTTTCAGACCAGGAGCATCCTTCTCTCACAGCTTACATTGTATTGATCTGTTAGCCCCCTGGGAATTTCCTTCAAAATATAGTCCAGGTCAGCACTAGAGTTTTTACTCTAGTCCATGGATTACTGTAATAACATCTTAACGGTACCTCTGCTTCTAAAATTACCTCTTTAAATCTGTTTAACCTTCGGCAGCCAATATGTTCCTTTTAAAACAAACCTCCAGACCTTTTGTTCAAAACTCTATGTTGACTTCACATATCTGTGAGAGGGAAATTAAAGACTTTTTTTTAATAGTGTAAAGGTCATTTTAATCTTAGTTTTTTGTTCCCACTCTTTGTCCTATAATAAATTTCAGGATCAAGACTAGTCCTCCTTGCATCCTTAGAGACCCTCAAGCAATCTAAGCTTGAACCTGAGCTGGAACTCTTCAATAACTAGTACTTGTACCTGAAATATTCTTTTCCTAAGAAGAGTATGTTGTTTCTCAGTCACTTTTTTTCTGTTCTCTGTTCAAATGTTGGTTTATCAAAGAGGACTTCTCTGTCCATGGATCTAAAGCAACTTCTCGATATTTCTAGGAAACTTGATCTTTGTTTTCTTGAAAGATCTTGCCACCATGTTGATGGTACAAATATAAATAGTATATATTTATTGCTAGATTGACTTACTTCCTATAACTCCCCAGAACCAATACTTTAAGATTTATGAAAGCTCACCATATTCATTATGTTTAAATTTTATACGTGACTCCTAAAATTATGCCAAAAAACGTAGTAGGTATTTAATAAATATTTGTTAAATTAGTGAATGAAAAAATTAAACTAAATTCTACACAGTATTATTTCTACGTGTTCTACCCAAGAAAGTTTCCTTTAAAGGTTTGTAAATAGGGTGAATAGCCCACGGGTGGGGTTTTTGCCATGCATGTAGCAGCTCTGTCTTTATCCCTCACATCCCAAATGGTCCCCTGAGCACTTCCAGAGAAGCTCTGAGCAGAGAGCCAAGAGGAAGCCTTGAACACTGCTGAGTGTAACTCAACCCAACTATTTAAGAAGGGCGGGGGGGGGGGGGGAGGGACATTATTATTAGTGTATTAATTTAAGTCATTTAAATTAATTATAAATGTAAAGTAAATTAATTTATATTAATGAGAAGTAGCGTCATGTCAGCTTATGATTTATACAAAGATTGTTGATACTTTTTGAATTATAAATATTCTCAGTCAGCACACCATAATTAGGTAGTATGGAGCAGCCTGTCCAGTGCTACTACTGGCTGTGTGCTCAGGGATCATTCCTGGTGTGGTTCAGAGAGAACCAGATGAGATGTTGTGGATGAACTATAGTTTGTGTGCATACAAGCCAAACACCTTACCAACTCTGGTATCTCCCTGGTGTCTTTATTGGGTAGTATTTTGAAATTAATTTTAGCAGACAGAATAATACAAAATAACCTTTTAAAAACATATTCCATGACAGAAGCACAATAAATGCTTTGTGCCTACTGTCTTTAGTGATTTGAGTAAATCCTTTCTGTAAATCCTGAACAGAGTATTATATTTACATGCCAGTAAACATACAATAAGGATTTAATGTTAGCTGTTATTGTTTATCTGCATAATTTTCTGCCTTATGCATGTTGCTACTGTCCTTTTTCCTAGATATTGGAGGTATAGTGAAGAAATGAAAACCATGGACCCTGGCTATCCCAAACCCATCACAGTCTGGAAAGGCATCCCTGAATCTCCACAGGGAGCCTTTGTACACAAAGAAAATGGTATGTAATTTGTGTTCTATATACTTTTTGAATCCATTATGTACTTCTATAGAATATCCTAGTTTAACTACATTAAATCATCAGAAGATGTCACATATATTTTATAATGTTACATTGTTATAACCTTTTCCACTTATATTTAGATTTAATATGCTCCAGCTATTTTTTTACTGAAGTTATATTAATATAGGAGGAAAAAACAAAAAGGTATATTTTAAAATGGAGAACACTATTTTAAGTAACACTACTATATTTCTACTAAAATCTCTGTAAAGATAATAATACCAAACCTACACAAAACTGAATCTGTCACATTGGAAGATATAAGTGTCAACCAAGGTACAAGGACAACTAATAATAATTCATGTTAAGAATTAGGACATTTTATGTACCCTGTTGACTTAGAATATCAGGAAATACAGAAAGTTTCAGCTGCGTATAATCAGGGTAGAGTAGCTGCATGATTTCTCAGAAACAAGTCAGCAAACTGCTAGGTACTTTGCTTTCTCTCTCTCTTAGAATTTGAAATTAAGCCAGATCTTAAATACAGAATTACCCAAGGGATAGATAGCGTATACTTCCTTAAATAATAGCATGTGCAATTCTTAAAAATAGCAAGTCTGAATATTTGAAATCCAGAGATTAATAAATAATAATAAATCAAAATAATACTTATACACAATATTAAAGAACAAAGGAAAGATAAATTATTCTGAAATAGACAAAATTGCTCCTCATCAAATTTTTATAGAACCAGAACAAAATATTATGTTATTAAGTCCTCAAGAGCATGAAAAGTCTAGATGATATAAACATAGTAAGAACAAAATAAGCATCACTTGCCATAACAAAAGTAAATGTATCCAGAAGGAAAAAAATTCTATGAATAGGGGGAAAAATAAATTATCAATACCATCACTGAAAACTGTGCCTAACCATTGTATGTTATGAGAATTTAAGAAAAGTTTACAACTAGTATAAACTTGAAGGAACGAGACTGAGGAGGAATAACTTCAGAAAAATATCATAATATACAAACTTTTCTATGGTTTAATGTGTTTAATATCCTATATGTAAAACTCTGTAGCCAGAGTAATGATCAAAGGCAATTTGAATTCTATTCATAGCACTTTGCAAGAATTATATTTCTATTTTGCTAAAGATTATAATTTTATACAGTATGATTTTAATTATAATTTTTATTTAAAAATATATCTTTATACCAATTTTAATTCTGTTGGACCATAGAATTAAAAGAGCTTGTTTAGAGATAACACGTAAAGAGCAAAATCAGAAAACCATACAAGAGGAAAGATAAAGATGAAACTATCTGGGAGATGAAGTGATAGTACAGCAGGTAGGGCACTTGCCGTGCAAGCAGCCAACCCAAGTTACATTCCTAGAATCACACATAGTCCTCCAGAGCCACCAGGAATGATACCTGAATGTAGAGCCACATACAAGCACCATGGCCCAGAATAAAGTGAAACAAAGCAAAATATCTGCCTGATGTTAAAATGAAATCAATAAAGGGATAGAAAATGTGGGAGACGGTAAAATCAGGTGTGACCAAACACTCAAGAAACTGAACCAAAGAGATAGTGTGGTGGGTAAGTTCCTTGCCTTGCATACAGCAATCCTGGTTCAATCCCTGTCTTGTGGTCCCCTGTACTCGGTCTGGAATGAACCCTGAGCATGGAGTCATGAGTAAACTCTGAGCACTGCTAGGTATGGACCAAAACCACTCACCCCCCTTTAAAAACAAACAAATCTAAACCAAACAGAACTCAAGAAGTTATGAAGAGAAGAGTAAATGGACAAAGAAATGATGAAGAGTGTGGGAGTGAGTGATTACGTGGAAGCTATGAAACTGATATCACCCCTGAGGATTTTTAGATGTTATCAAGGAAAAAACAAAGCGGAAGAGGGGGTGGGAGATTGCGGGGACTCATATTGACAGATACTCTCGAGGCCCAAATAGAGCCAATTCTAGTAAACTTTTGGAGAAGTCTTTACACTGCTCTATTCTGCTGGATAACTCTATTAAAGCTATCACAATTTAGGGCACAGGAGGGATAGCACGGCGGGGAGGGTGTTTGCCTTGCACTAGGCCAAACCGGGTTCAATCCCCAGCATTCCAGATGGTCTCGCAAGTACCACCAGGAGTGATTCCTGAGTGCAGAATCAGGAGTAAGCCCTGAGCATCGATGGGTGTGACTCAAAAAGAAAAAAAAAAACAAAGCTATCACACTTTATACAAAAATATATGTTATATATGAAGAGATGATTCCAACATCTACATAACAATCTAGCAATAAATTTAAATAACAGATCTTCTTTCCTCATCTATATTAATTTAAAAAAGTGTTTTAATAAAAAAATAATTCAACAACTTGTTTCAAAAGTTGTTTAAATTATACATCATCTTAGTTCCTTATCATATCAACAGATTTTTGTTTTCCCTATTTCTAAGATCACTCATTTATGAAAGTTGATTGTTTCTCTGAAAATAAATAATTAATAGAACAACAAAAAAAACCCCGTGCTGTCCCAGTCATAATATTCAAAAATGTATAGTATCTATAGAGTGTAAATCAGTTAAATTGCATTATAAAATATGTATTCTGAACTCTAGATATGATTTTATAGTTTATAAATAGAACAATAAAATTTTTAAATAACATATTTAATTGTATTATTTTAATGTTATAATAATATAACAAAGTTTCTATTTCTTTTATACTTCATTACTCAATTTTACATCTTATGCTAAATAAGACTAAGAATACCAAGATTTTTTTTCATAACATTTCTCTTCGGGTATACATTTTTTAAAAGGAAGTCTCATTGTAAAATTCAATCGATATTAGTTGCTAAAATTTATTTTATCCCTCTCTTTTACTCAAAAACTCAACTCCTTGAAATCTTGGTGACAATGACATCTTATTTTCCCAAAATACTTGATCTGTAATACTATAATTCAACCCATGTTTAGTATCTTGATATAGACTTCAAATAATAAATTTCACACTTTTTTTCTTTATTCAAATTCTGTGATGTGGTTTTTAAAATTCATTTTACACAATTTACACAATTTTAAGGTTAATTCCAGATTCTATTTTAATTCTTGCACGGTGTGTTGCTGGTTATAATGCCATTTACAGTCTATTTATGCTGGTTATAATGCCATTTACAGTCTAAGACCGCTGACTCTTGATTTTGTGGATTTGTCGTTTAATTTTCAGCACCCACTCTCAATTTTTCTTAAAATCTGCAAATATGATTCAAACAGGTATTTTCACAAAGTTTAGTTGTTTTCATTCACATTTTTAAAACACTGATTAACTTCTTATCAATAAAACATGTCGAAGTGGAGTCAATACGCACTGCATTCCGGGAGCGTCTACAAGGTGAGAGCCAGGATAGCTACATCCTGCTATGTTTTAGGACTCTGCAGTAGCACAATCACCAGTAATAATCAGCAGAATATGATAGAGAAAGTCACCAAATAATATATTAAAGCTTCATTGATTCATCAGAGTTACCAAACAAAATCATAAAATCTGGATATGAATTCATCTGAAGTTGCTCTTCTTAATAAGCACAACCCCCTGCAGAAATGTAATATAAAAGCTACTCTTAAAAGGGAAATATATGAATATATAAACATTTCTCCAACTGACAGATCATAATGGGATAAAAGACTAAATTATTGAATGAGATAAAGTGTGTTAGATCAAAGTTTAACAGATTTATATATCCAATACTTATTCCACTTATTTTCAGTGCTTTTATGATCAGACTCCTACTGATTAGAATTTTTATTCCCAACAAGGGTATTAAGTAAACAATTTTGCTTCTGTCGGTGAAGGGTATTACTATGAAATTTGGTCAGCAGATCTAACAAATATAAAAATAGAAACATCATATTTTTATGTAACACCCAGTTGATTTCTAGTAATTAGCCTTGACTAAGTATCAAAGATGAGGACAGTTCCAGCTGTTGATTTCTAGTTTATAAACATAAGAAGTACATTCACCTGTTTTTGAAGGTCTGCTTAATTCTAGATCAGTGCCATTATTCAACTATGATCATCTAGTATACTGTTATTTGGCAGTTCTCAGCTTTTCTTCATCCAAGCTTATTGAGTAATTACATTGGATTTCATTAGTGTGATCAAATATCAGCTCCCCGCAGAAACATTTGAATCTACATACACCTGTTTTCACTTGGCAGGTTGCTCTGATTGCAAAACTGTCCTTCCAAACTAAAAGCAGCAGCAGATTTTTATGGCATTTAACAGAATGCAGTACAAAAATGAAGTGACCCGAAGTAATGATCTCTCCTACCTGACATTTTTTCAGAGTTGACAGATGCTTTTGGTTTTTTGTATGTTTCAAGAGTGATAAACATCACACTCTGTGATGTGTACGCATAGAGGGTTCATTAAAATTTAGAAGCTCTCTAAAGGATCCGATATTAGGAAAATAAAGTGCTCATGCTTCAGAGCTAGGATAAGATTTAAGTACTGCTTTCATCAGAACTGAGCACTTTATCTCTGCATCTTCGTATCTGGGCCTGAACGGTAAAGGTAAAGGTAAAGGCCCTCCCGTTGATTGTCGATTTGCTCGAGCGGGCCCAGTAACGTCTCCATTGGAGACTTTGTTGTTACTGTGTCTGGCATATGGAATACTCTCGGTAGCTTGCCTGGCTCTCCGAGAGGGGCGGAGGAATCGAACTCGGGTCGGTCATGTTGGCCGCTTGTAAGGCGAATGCCCTACCGCTGTGCTATCACTGGGCCTGAAAAGTATATGTAATTAATCTGTGCCTGAAAAGTATATGTAATTAATTTCTTCTGACCATGATAATGCAGATTTTGAAAAATGTCATTTTCTAAATGATTAGCACATTTTTTTTTCGAAAAGTTATGGATGACTTTAAAACAGACATACTATTTTTAAAAAGAGTTCTTAAGAGAAAAATTAATAATGTGGCTAACAAAAAAGTTTGGAGTTCATAAAAAGTTCATAGAAAGACAGACATTTTCAATATTGTTATGAACTTATAAAATCTATTAACTGAGTCCACATTGTTTGGGGATATATCTCAGGCATTTTCCTAGTTTTTAAAGCCTTCCACATGCTAGCCCCTTCCCCATTACATGTTAGTTGGAAACATTAAACCTAGAATTATCTATTCATTTTTCTCTATAAATTCTTTAACCAAAAAAAGGTTATTGACTTTCAGAGTTCTATAAAAAAATGTGGCAAGTAATATAAATAGAAGATAATTAAAAGAAAGAAAGCTAAGGAAATAGGACAAAAGAAGAAGAGAGATGGGCTTGATTTAGAACCAGAAATAAAATTAATGCATAGATAATATAAATACCTAGTTTGCTTACTCAGATTTCTTCCAGGCAGAGAACAGGACCAGTTTCATTAAGAAAACACAATTTGTCATTAGATCTTGCCTGAAGGACAAAAGCTTACCTGGTTAGCAGGAGCATGACCGTTTCTGATAGAAATAAGAAGAACAATTTCCTTTGAGGTGTTACAAGAAGTCTCTTTATAGTATATTGCAACTCAATAGCAGCCTAAGACCAAATAGGTCTTTAATTGATAAAGCTGGTTCAACATCTTTCAATATAGATTGATCTCACCATATTAATGTGCAATCCTCTGCTGTAATCCCTTAATCAAATGAAAGGATAAACCTTTATTCCCAGTGCAGACTGCACGTGCACATCTAGGTTTGTCAACAGTCCTCTGCAGATATTTCTCTCCACTAAATGTTTCATAGACATAAGAAGGGAATAGTCTGGGGCTGGAGCGATAGCACAGAGGGTAGGCTGTTTGTCTTGGACGCAGCCAATCCGGGTTCAATTGCCAGCATCCTATATGGTCCCCTGAGCACCGCCAGGAGTAATTCCTGAGTGCATGAGCCAGGAGTAACCCCTGTTCATTGCCAGGTATGACCCAAAAAGGAAAAAAAAAAGGAAGGTAACAGTCTCTGGCATACACAGGCCAGATTCATTTCAATTGATAACTGAGCTGATGATAGTATTTTCTTCTGACAGAAATGCATGTTTTAAGGCCCCGATTAGATTAAAATATCTCTAACTGCACGGAATTTTTCATTTTACAAACCAGTGGTTCTCTATATATATGTGTATGTGTTTCCTCCCCAGGCTTTACGTATTTCTACAAAGGAAAGGAGTATTGGAAATTCAACAACCAGATACTTAAGGTCGAACCTGGATATCCCAGATCCATCCTCAAGGATTTTATGGGCTGTGATGGACCGACAGACAGAGATAAAGAAGGGCACAGCCCTCCAAATGATGTAGACATTGTCATCAAACTGGACAACACAGCCAGCACTGTGAAAGCCATAGCTATCGTCATCCCCTGCATCTTGGCCTTATGCCTCCTTGTATTGATTTACACTGTGTTCCAGTTCAAGAGGAAAGGAACACCCCGCCACATACTGTACTGTAAACGTTCTATGCAAGAGTGGGTGTGATGTAGGGTTTTCTTCCCTTTCTTTCTTTTCCAGGAGTTTGTGGTAAACTTGAGATTCAAGACAAGAGCTGTTATGCTGTTTCCTAGCTAGGAGCAGGCTGGTGGCAGCCTGGTTCGGGGCTGACCTTGCAAACCCAGAGAGTTGATAGTCCTGTACACGAGTGGAGACTCGCTCGTGGGGAAGCTTCCATGATGCACAGTATCTGCCGTTCCTCAGTCCTTCTTTGTCTTTCTTTGTCATTCAGTTATAGGCCTTTCCTCTGCACGCTCAATGCCCAGTCAATTTTCAGGATTAACTAAAGAAGAGGAAGAAAAAAAAAGAAGAAGAAGAAGAAAAGATTCTTCTTAAAGCTTTCTTTGATTATTTTTCTTCAGAAGTCTGAGCCCATTTTCGGGGAGAATAATGCAAAATGGAAAACCCACATTTTTTTTTAACTTTTGCTTAAAAGCAAAGGAAAACAAATGAAAACGGTTAAACAACAAACTCACATTTGAACTTTCAGAGAAGTGAAGACCCAAAACAGCTTTGTCTCCAAAGAAGATAGCTCTCTTCCTGCTCCAGGAAGCCTAGTACACTTCGGATTTGTCAGGTGGGAGATACGGAATACACACGCAGGACTTCAGACTGTTGGGACAGCCATTTTCCAACAAACAAGGGGCCAAAATATCTGCAATATAGTAACAGCCTTAATAATACATCCATTTTTCGTTTTCTACAGCTGTTCTCAGCTACGTCCTCAATGTCGCATCACATTTCTACTCATAGTTAAATTCAGACTGGACCTTGACATTGTTATGAAGTGTTTCTCAATTCCTTCCTGCCACCTTCCCAAGACATCCTTGTGATACTCTCCCCAAGTTGTATTAGGCCATTGCCCCAGGCCTTCCGCGGGTCTGTCAGGAATATTCATGACAAGCAGAGCAAGAAGCAGTATGTCTCTAATGTGGTTTAAGTGACAGTTATTTTCCAAGGATATGTGATACTGGTAATACATTGGTGTAACCCTTTGAGAACTATCAGTGCAGCTTTCAGAGTCTTAGGATCGCTGTCTGGTAAATCAGCAAGCTGGGCAATGGTAAAAACAGGAAAGGGTTCGAGAAGTTCAGGTTTTTAAAACAGATATAACCCCATGTAATTTTTAAGTGGTTTATGGTACTACATAAATGCTTTTTTTAACAAAAAGAAATGATGTTACTTGCCAACAACTTTCCTGGCAAATAAAAAAGTATTTTATTAAGTATCTTGTAAGAGTGAAATTTTATTTAAACAACTGACGATAAGAGCCTGCCTTTTTATTCCCTTCTACATTTTGAATTTCAGTTTTGAAGTCCACTGCATGAATGTCGATTTCCCTTGGTACATGCAGTTAGCATTGCCATTTTAAAACGATGACTCTGAGATTTGCATGAGTATCCTTAAGTGCGTTAACTATTGCATGTCAGCCATAGTTCTCAAAGGGTTAATGTGGCTTCTGGCATTTAGCCATCTATTGGGATCACTGACAGAGCCAAGAGACCACCAAAGCATTTCATTGTTGAGTGTAATTTGTCATTACAGCAGTATTGTCATTTCCTTGTGACCTGCAGAGCGGGTTTGTATCAATATTTTTTTCCTAGAGAAAAGTCAGCAACTGACAGACCTCTATTGATTTCGAGGAGCTGCTTCTTGCAGTGAGAGGCTTTCCAGCCGCTGGGCTGTGAACTTATTAGAGATGGTCAGAAGGAATGCACCCCCGAGTGGGACATTGGCTTTTTGGGAAAGCCAGCTTTTGAGGGGATTAGCTTTTGAAACAATGAACAGCTTGCCTTGAACTTGACTATCGATCTGTTGACTGTCATTAACAACAACTTAAACATTGTCTTCTGTGAAAATTTTTTCTTGAAGAGTCCTCTTCTATGTCGTTGCCCTTTGACCTTTAACTTGCAAACTGGCACAAACCGAAAGAAATCTGGTGTGGTTTCTCCATTGGATTGGTAATTGTTCTCAGAAAACCTTGTAAGCCTGAGCTGTTTCCTTAGAGCGGAGACAGAGTGCCATGGGGTTCACTGGATGGACACTTTGCTTTCTACATGCACACTCGGAAAACGCCCGATAGGTAGAAGTCACTTTTAATTTTCCTTTAGTATAATTTCGAGTCTATATTCATCATTTTGTTACAAATATAAAACTATGGGAGAAAAAAAAAACCTCAAAATACTTGAACGGCCAGCGTGGCTTTTATATAAAGCAGGAATTTTATACTATTGAAAATTTCTTACTCATTTGCTAAGAATACACATTTCCAGATGATTTTTAATGAGTGTAGGTGTACATTCTTATTTGGAAATGGAATAGTTCGGCTGCCTTGAATTTATATTTATACTCAACATAGCATGAGAATTCGAATGTCTTTCGGTTGAGCTACATGTTTATGAATTGGTTTGGGAAAACGTTTTGTAAATCCTGGGTGGCATGCTAAAAAGCCTTGCAGAATGTTACTTCTTACAACCTGCACATACATAATGTAAAACTGGGGAGGGGGCTAACTATCACTTTGAAGGAAGAATAGACTATACTTTGAGAAGATGTTGGAGATTATGGGTAGAAGGACCAAAAAGGCTAGGGGAGAGGGTCAGGATCAATCCTGTCGCTTGACTCCAGAGCTTCCATTCTACACGATGCTAATATTGAGAGTCCTGCCCACATGCATGAAGACTGTATACATAAGCTTGTTTATATCGTGTCTGCTTGTAGGAGGAGCTAATCCATTTAGGACCTTTCTAGCAAGGAGGGAAAAAAATAACTGGAAATTATATTTAGCCAAACCTACAGATGAGGCACTTTGTCATTTGGGGATGTTGACTTCTGTCAACCTGCATTGAAAATACATATTTTGCTTTTTTTTTGTTGTTTTTTTTTTCCTCTAAAGTGAGAAAGAAATAGAGGAAACAATCTTTTGCCTATTAACTCATTTGCCACAATATCCTGGTTCATTGTAACACTATGTATATAAGGGCTAGAAAATAACCATAGCATTAAGAAGGGAAGAACTATCATGGTGCAGGATTTTAAGAAATTTCATGGATTGTAGCTGAAATTTTTGGTTGAAATTAAAGAAGAAGTGAGATTGGTGTGATAAGAAAGGCACATGTGGTTTCTCAACAGAAATGTTTAAAATGTTCAGTCTGTGAATGGCTACAAAGATAAGAAAATAGGAAATGCTGACATCATCACAAACATTGGAATTCTCTTTTTTTTAATTGTATGCTGGGTTTCTTGTGAGTATGACTGCTGACCAATCTACTGGGAGTTTGGAAAAATCTCAATTTTAATATACTAATGATACTCAGAGAGTGACTATTGGTATAACATATAACAATAATGATTCCAACTGGTAAAATTTAATATATTAATAGTTCCTAACAGTAGAGACAGGCAAGCTAAATAACATTTTTCATGAACGCCTTACTAATACCATGGAAAATTCAACCTAGAATTTCCTAACTTGTAACAGAAGTATATTTACCATTACAAAAATATTCCTTCTATTTCATTATTTCTCTTTACTTTAAATGCAAATGTAATTAAGGAAATGTTTCTTACAAAGCTCAACTATACATAGTTTATAATTTTAGCCAAATATTATCATCCTATAGTAGTAATTGGACTCAAGAAGTGTTCCAAATATACCTTCTATAAAGCACTAAATATGCGTCATGCTTGTAGAGGAGGTTGTAAATTTAACCATTATCCTTTTCAGAGCAAAGTGTCTGCTAACATGGCAATCAAAACAGGTAAATACAACAGTTTACAATTGAAAAATTAGCATAGGTAAGTTAGGAAATGCCAATATGAGCAAAAATAACTTCTTTATAAATCAAAGGGCAAAGCTTTTCTGAATTAATGAAATAAATTACTAAGTAATACTTTGCCAAAAAATTACTAAGTTATAAAATATAGAGACTGATTGACTTTAATAAGCAAATTTTACTTTTGCTAGTCATGTTAGCTTATAATCTTTTTCTATTGACACAAAATTCTTCCATATACTATATACTTTTATATTTTATTTCTTTTTTCTATTGGTTATTTTAAAATATAAACTTGTGGATAAGAGCACAATCCAGCTTTGCTGATAGTTCCGATATACGGATAATGATTAGATTCTTGATGCCAGGAAGAGTAACAGTGTCATGTAGAATTACAAAACCACACTTGGTGGAACTCATAGTAGAATATCCCAGTGCATCTTGACTAACTGAAATCAGTGTGCTAATTTAAGATGAGTTGATGTCATAAATACACAGGACTCACATGAATTGTAAAAAGAGCCTTTTTAAAAAAGTTTTGGAAATATTTCTGAAACTAATAAGAGTGATTTATTGACCGTATTAGTCTTTGAGATTGTAGCATAATCTGCAACAAATTCACGAATTATAATGAAATCTTTTCTCAGCAAACATAGCAGAGTTCATTTAATTTTTTTCATGCTCTCAAGAGCACATTCCAAAGTATCACAGATGTCACATAGAACACACTGTCTAAATCAAAAATGTTAAATTCAGATGAACTATTACAAATAGCTGTAAGTACATGTCAGCCAGTATATGATATAGGACAAGTTTTCAAGGCAATAATATTAGAAAGTCGGCCATCTCATTGCATTCTTGAACCTTCATGATATTGATTAATTTTGACTGAAGGAGAAGAATCAGATATATATATAGATATATACATATATCTATATATATATGCTGTATGTTTCATAGTGCCTAGAATCATCAGAAAAATGTGTTATCTTTAAAAAATAAATTATCACATAATAAATAAAGCAACCATCAGTCATACCACATGATTAATCAGGAAACCACATATTTACTAGCTATAATAGAAATGAAGAGGGAAAAATGAGTTCTTTATAAAATTTGAAAACATGCAGTAGCAATTTTAAATACAACCAAAAATTTTACTTTAGCAAGTATAAAAATAGTATAGAAAAAAATTCTACTTCAAGCTTTTCACACGAGTAATAAATATGTGATATATCAATATATAATTAGGCAGTGGTCAGTAGATACTTCCTTGCATAAACACATCTGATACTCATAGATTGCCTTTTAGACTGAAAATGTCAATGTTGGGTGTTCAGTAGCCCCACTGGAAAGTTATGTAATATTAGCATCTTCTGAGAAAAGCCATTTGCTTAGGATAGCAATTTACCTCAATAATCACAAAACATGCGACATACAAGTAAAGAAGTTGCCTCATGCTCTGCTCTCTCATAATGACTGTTGTTGGCTCTGGGTTACTTTAATCATTTTTCCTTTGTTTCCACTGGTCTAATTTTGAAATTCATATTTGAAGTCATCTTAAGAATATTAACTGTCAATATCTTTCCCTGTTTTATTCACATAATCTTTAAAAATTGAACCAGTAGTATATAAGCCTACAAATGAACACTGACATACTCACAGAAATTGAGTCAAAAACCAGATATAATAGTGCAAATTCTGAAGTATTAGTCTTCAGTTTTCAAACACAGATGTGAGCTGATTACTGATTACATATTTGAGGCATCTATGTTTTAGAACAGTTCTAACTTTTTTATTGTTAAGTGAGGATATTCAAGTGTGGAGACAGCATTTCATAAGCTTCATTCATAAAATTCTTTAAGGAAAATGAGGAAATTCCAAGACTTAGGGTCAGTGCTTACAAGCATGGTCAGTTACAGGGAAGATGTTTATTCATGAAGATTTCTGAAGGTATTATGCTGTTTCAATTTAAATAACAGTGTGTCTTGGAATTTATCTTGTAACTAACATTGGACTGGGAATACTATTCAGATTTGCACACAATGTGCTGTTAAGTTCAAGGGCACACTAGAGGTGTAGGGTAGATATATGGTAAACTGGAATGTTTTGCTTCTAACTTTGCCATGTGCTCTACTATAGAGCTAGATATATATGCCCTTAAGAAGGGAGAAGAAAGTTAATATAAATATGAAAATATGATCATTGTGTCATGTTAGGTCACTTAGTTTCAGAGCAAGATGTCAAGCGTTCTTTGTTTCTCAAAGAAAAGGCAGAGAAAATGATTCGCATGAATAGGAGGATGACATTTTTGACTTACAAAGATGTTTCTCATTTTAGCTACATTTTTGCTCTCTAGAAAACAAAAATCATTCATGACACAGACCTTTCATAGCACTTGGTCTGTAACTAGATTGTATCCCAGATATGATACTTTTTCACCCAGGCCTTTTATACATGCCTCATAGACAGTAAGTTTTGGTGAGATACGACCAGATGGCGGATTCTTTTCCCTAGAACAGGATATGGTGCCATTTGCCTTGCCACCTTTTATATGAATGTATGTTTCTATGTTGGCCAGTCTTGCCAAGACATGGGCGAGTAACACCTGGTGTGAACACCTTTGAAAAGTCACTTGCATGTTTATTTGTTCTAACACAATGCCCGTTTGAACTGTTAACCTCTTTATTGACAACCCATTTGTGAAAGTAGAACATACTTTTCGTAAATGATTCAACTCTTAATCAGTGTCATAATGTTTGCAACCAGTGAAATAACACCATCGAAACCACATTGCCAGTCTTCTAAAAGCCAGCTCTTTGGTATATATAATTGCCTGAATTTTTCTTTTTTGTCACTTCTTGAATATGACATGGAAGCCACTATTCTTTTATAGGTTTACAAAGACAAAATTTCACAGATTTTGTTACTTTTTCATTTCCAAACATGATTTCCAAAAATTAGAAGGGTTGTGTGCCTGGGGTTTGTTTCTCCAATTCTACTATTATTTGATTTCTTTCTGTTCATCACCCCAAAATACAGATGGTTGAGAGGGATAGAGTATTTGGTGTTGTCTTATGTAGTGTGTGCCTATATTTGCATTCCTTTCAATTTCTAACTTGCCATACCTACCCTCCTTTTTCATACTTACTTTTCCGTTTCCTTCCTGAATAAAAGAGAAAAAGGAAATGAGCAGCATTTATGTTAGGTGTAGTGCCCAGAAAATATACACTTGTTCCTTCAAAATTGCCCTTCACAAATTTCAAGCAAAGACTCGCTTCGTCCCTAATAAACTTGACACACCTCCCAATTTTTTGCATTTGATACTGACTTCTTGCATTGGGTTTTTTTACTTAAGGCTGTTGCCCCTGTAAAAATTGAAATGCTGAGGATGTACGCTGTTGTCTATCGATAAGCCAGCTTAGGATGTTTGCTTTTAAGAATGTATCTTTAATAATTAGCAAGAAAGCAAAAACTAAAATACAGTATTCTGCTTAAGGTACATAATAAGTACACAGATACTTCAAGCCTAACTCTTTGGTCAAGTTCCTTTTGTGTGTAAATTACATATATATTAAAAACAAGGGAGAATAAAAGATTAAGGGATATTATAGTGGCAGCTTTTAGCTGCATTGGTTAGCCTGCATCAGCATTTCTATTGTGGACCTCTATTTTCAGGGGTTTTAGAAACTCATCCATAAAAATTTGCTTCAGATTTGAAAGTCTTGGGAGATTCTTTTTTAGC